GACTCCCGCAGAGAATCTGTTTACCTTACTTCCAAGAAGCAATCTGTAAAAAGATTAATAATATGGCTTTCATCTTTTCATATTATTTGGTCTTCTTATTTTCAACAGAGTACAGTGGGAAGAGCAAAACCATTTGGAGACTGATCTTTGGAAGAAAGAAATAAGTTACCAACATTAAAATCACTCATTAGGAACAGAATTATTACTGGATGTTTGGCCTTAATGATTTCTTGCTTTTAAACTATGGGGAAAAAACGTTTTGGCTGGCTGTGACCTGAAGCAAACATTCTAAGGTTTGATGTAAGGGGAAAGCAATTCGGTGGGTTGAGACTCCTGCTGAAGACGAGGCTCTCGTAAAACAGATCAAAGGTTTGCAGCTCAGCAAGTCTTGTCCAAAGGTTGCCCATGAAGGAGCTCTCCAAACAAATCCAGGAACCAGCGGACTTTAGCGTGAGTTTTTCCATGCACTCATTTCTTTATTTCCTTACATTTTCTATTGCCCAATAGGCAATGTTCTCTGGATGATTCACAAAATTTAGGGGCAACTCGCTCACCACCACAAGTTAATTAATGTGTTTATTTATTTAATTTATATGCTGCCGGATTAGCCATAGGCCCTCTGGTTCATTTGCATACAAACATTGCTACAATGCAATACAGGAAAGTCAACAAATACCATAAAACTAATAATAAGAATAAATTCAGTGATAATCAACCAGACAATAAGCAATTAATAATAATACTTAAAATAGATAGATAGATTGCAATATAAAGCCAATTTATGGCAACTGTACAAAAATAATTATATGCAATCCATACATTAGTTATAAAGTCATGAAAATATAAAATCACATGTTATAGTTGGCATGTGAAGGGTGTTTTCTTGTGGGAGACTTAAAGTGGCTTCTTCTTAAATACGTCTGTAACACCAGAGTAAAGCCCAGATTTGGGGACAAGGTACATCCTCTCAAAACATTCTTACCTGTGACGAATAGTAAGATGGCTGGAGGTCTGAGGCAAAAAAAAAAAAAAAAGCATTGGGAATTTCCCGAAGATGATGCAAATGGTTAACAGGTTTAACTTGCGCAGGCCCAGTCATGTTAATTGCTTTGCATTGTGTGCCATTCCCATTTTGCGCAAATCAGCCGGGGATCTCAAAAGCTTTCTGGTATCTGGTATAGAGACCATAATTGCAGAGAGAAGCATGCGCAATCCGGCCTCCTTTCGTGCACTGGTTCTTGCGCAGAAGGGTTGCCCACCTTTCCCTGGCCGGCCAGTTGGGTGGACTCTCCGCGTCGCAAGGCAGGGTCGAGGGATAGAACTGGCCCTTCTTCTTCCCCACGAGGCTTTGACCTAGACATGAGAGCCACCCAGGAAGATGATGGCGACAGCCTTGGATGACAAGCGTGGCCAGACGGGTTGCTCGAAAGGAAAAGGACGGGATATAAATATACTTAACAAAATAGATGAGCACTTGCAACCTGTGGCAGTGGCGGAATGGGCCCTTCCTACCAGGAGCTGCCCCAACAACTTTGCTGCGTGTGGATCTTTCTAGCTCTATGGGGGACCCCGGCCCGTTTGGTACTGTGACCTGGGCTTGTGCCTTGTCGCTCGGGTCTCATTTCTCTGGCTGCCCACAGCCTGGACTGTTTCCACCCAGGCAGCAATCCCAGAAGAATCTCCAGTGGCCATCTTTCGCTCATCCCAGGCAAACCTAGCCGGGTTCCATCGAGGTGACAGCGCAAGGCCAGGAAGAGGCTGGGCTGCGATCGCAGGAGCCGTGCTTGCATGCACCGCAGTGCCTTTTGGTACTCACAGCGGCCTGGAGACGAGCAGGGCACCCCATTAGGGTTGAAAGGAATTTTCTGGTTAATTAAAAAGGAGAGTGATGGGTACAAATACACATAAAAACAATTTGAACCTTTTTAGTTTATGCTTAGGACCACACACTTTATTCCAGAAAATACCCAAGACTGGAGGCAGAGCAATGACTGCGGATTCGAGTTGTCAGCGGCTTCCTCTCTAGCAGCAATGCTGAAAACTGCCAGATCCGCACGGAAAGCTCCCCTTCGGATGAGCAACTTGGCAGGTAGTGGAGCTGTGTGCGCGCAAAAGCCTCACGCCAGATGGTCCACATAAAAATGATTGTTCCAGTGGGAATCAAGGTCAATATGCTGTCTGCGGTGCCCAATATGAGCCAGAACTTAAGTTTGCATCGCATGTTAAATTGCGTGCATCGTTACAGTATGTAAGGGGGGCAGAGAGTGAAGGAAAACACGGCACACAAAGGAGGCATTTTGCTTTCTTCTTGGAACAGTCAGAGTTCAGGAATTCCCTGACCAAGTCCATGCATCGCTGGACACAACTGCCGTTCTACTCCTATAAGGAGGACTTTTGGGTAAAAGGGAAGGCTAAAACTCTAATAAACAAACAAACAAGTCAGGCGGCTTAAGTAAAGCAGCTCAGGCATGGGAGGTACAGCCCTGGCTTCCGACGGATCTCATGTCCGTCTCCTGCATCTGGCTAACCAATCGGCGAATCTATCCTTTTCCAACTTGGTGCTCTCCAACTGGATGGGGCTATAATGGGAGGCTCAACCGGCAGGCCAAATGCCGTCTCCCAGGACCTCTTACCAGCAGCACTCCAGTAGTGGGTTGAGCTGAAAGCAACATGGCGGAGCCCGCCAGAGCTTCCAAGAACGCCCGTGTGCTTTGGCTTAAAGCTCTCCTCGCCAGCATCTAAGACGGGAAGGCATCACACCTTTTCGGAATGGAGCAAAACTGTTCAAAAGACACGGGATGCGGGGAGGTAGCTCGTGAGGACCAGCTTGGCCTCCAGGCGAGCTCCTGGCCTTCAGCTGTCCCTAACCCAAACCCAAACTGGACTTTAATCCAAACCTGCATACAGGGCTGAAATCTAAAGCCATTCCTTGAGCTTTGAACTTTTGTGTTCTGTACTTAATATAGAAAAATGGGAATGCCAAAGGATCAAACTGCAGATGTAAAATTCTGTACCACTGCAGCGATTGAATGGCATTCTTGTTCACAGGTTATTCTCTTGGTCCTCAAAATACCCTATACCCTTTCATGGAAGGTCACCTCTAGCTTTTAAACGACATGAATATTGTTATTTATGCTATTAGTACTTTGACAGTTTTTATCATTACAGTTCTTGTGATTGCAACCTGCCCTGGTTGTTCCGTATATGGAAAGGTGGGACAGAATAAAGAATATTCTGAAATAAAGAAATAAACCTTTTTGGAAGCAGCTGTAAAAGCAAAGTGCATTGGCATTTACATCATCCAGTTACAGGTGTAAAAGGGAGCAACCTGCATGTACAGGACGAAAAGGGTTTCCGTCTCCTGTTGACAGTCGTGAGACTGGAAAAAATCTCCCGTAATAGTTTGTCTAGTTCACTGCTGGCATCCAGCACTAGGAGAGGGCGAGGGCTGCTAAAGCTGCCGCTCGCTTGGAAGAGGAGTCCCACCTCTTGCCACACTGCGATATGCGGAACAGGCGGCCGCCGTTTGTGGCATTACTCACTGCATGCAGCCGCTGCGTTCAGTTCCCAGGGTCTAGCGTGGCCGGCAACCTTCTAGAATCGGCCTCCCGCCTTTGGTGACGTTTCGCCAGCCCTTTGCCTGCCATGGATAGCGAAATAGCAGAAGTTGTGGGGAAACACGTCTGATGTAGAAAGGAAGATTTACTTGTGAAACCGAAGGCTGGTGTTTTCCCAGACAACCCCGTGAAGCCGCTGAAGATGGCAAGCGGGTCGGGTGATTCTGGTGGGTTTGTGAGGCTAAAGACGGGGATGAAACTGGCATGTCAACTGTAGGACTTTATACTAAGTGGCGGATCGCAGCGTTCAGCGAGGGCTTCCATGCGCAAGGCAGTGCTTGGGCCCCCCGGTATTTCGCTCACGCTGCTCTGTGGCACATTTTGTCTTCCCCCGCCGTTGCCCCCACACGGTTGAGCCACTGCTCTCCTTAAGAGGGAAAATGCAGAATCGCTTCTTTCTCCAATCCGCTCTGGTGTGCTTTTCTCGCAGGAGGCTGCCCGGCTGCCCCTGGGCAGAGGGGATACTGGGGCAGTGGGGACTGGTGGTGGGAGCCGTGCTTGGTGCGCTGGCCTGTGTGGCCCTCGCTGGCCGGACCTTTGGGGTGGACGGAGCAAGGAAGGGGCCGGGCGGGAGGTGAGGCACGAGGGCCTCCGGGGGCTTTGGCACCTCCGAGCTCCTGCAGCGGCTCTGTAGCCTCCGTTGCCATTGTCCTCTTGCTCGAGGAACAGCTGGCTGAGCGGCACATCTGCTCTGAGGGAAACCAGGTGCTATTCCATTTTCTTATGAGTAACGCAGTTGCCCTCAGTGGGGCTACTTTGGGGGTGTGGGCGAAGGCTGTTCTTGCTTGCTTGTGGCTGGAGGGAATGTGGCAAATACAAACTGAATACCTGCCCCTAGGAGAGGCAGGGGCTGCAGCTGAGTGGAGCAACTGCCACACGTAACACCCCTACACACACACACAGAGGAAAGCTTTTCAGAGGGTGCACAGCCTCATGAAGAGGTGTGACTCGCCTGCCTCCGGGAGGCTTGGGGCCATGTGGGAATAAAACCTTCCGGTGCAGGAACCCCTGCACTTATCCCGAATCTCTGACCACACAGTGCAGCCCAGTGGATCCGCTCGGGAACTGCAAGCTCTCCCAGATTAAGACTTGCGGAAACCCGTGTCCGAGTGCGGCCGACCCCACACGCCACGGAGCAGTGGGGGGCGCTCCGGCTCGCCTCCTCTGGCCAGGCGGCCACCCAAGCATGTGTGGGGGGCATAAGTTGCGACCTCAGGAGGGAAGGACGAGGCGCTTCCAGAGGAGCAGTTCCCACCCGCCAGTGCAAGCGGGGCGCCAAAGGCCGGAGGCCACAGCCAACCCCTCCGGTCCTCCCTCCCTTTGACCAGCGCTTTGCGTCCAGGAGTGCCCAATTAGAGAAACGCACAGAGGGGGAGGGAAATGTGACGGCCCGGTCTCACTGTATTTTATTTACAAGTGCGGGGAAAGCGGGGATGTGGTGTAAGCAGCACTTTTCTGGACTAATCTTGGCAGTGGCCCACACCGCCACGTATCCGGGGGTTTGCTCTCTAAATCGAGGGTTGGCTCAGAGCGACTGTATCCTGACCCAACGGACAAAATCACTGCCAGTGTAGTAGCAGTATTATGATGATTATGCATTTATCTCTTTTTTTCCTCTAGTGAGCAACGCAAGGTGGCTCCCACAGCCCTTTCATCCTCACAACAGCAGCCCTTTGGGAGATGGGGCCAACAAGCGTGAGGGGGCCAAAGCCACCCTGGGCGCGGGGACAAGACGCCTCTGCTCCTGGCTCTCCAGTCCGACAGCTCTGCACCGGGATCTCTGCATGCGCAAGGGCGGCCGCAGGGCCCTCAAGGTGAGACGGGGGGCCCGTCCCCTGCGTACTGCGCCTTTCCGTAAGAGTGTCGGTCGCGAGACTCAGCAGTGGAGATTTGGCTGGGGAGAAGCACCCTCAGGAAAAGTCCAGTCTGACACTCGGCAGTTCTGGCAGGTTGTCCGTTTATTTCAAAAATGTCTAAACCAACTAACTTCCAGGGCAAGAGCCCTTCCAAGGGGACTTGGACAGAAGCAAGTCCCAAGTGGCGAAAAGGCCCAGCACAGGAAGCACCAGAGCCGCATGACTCCGGCACGGCGACGCTCAGTCCTTAATGGAGATGAAGCCAATCTGCGTGCCGAAGTTCTCACCGTCCCGAACGTGGGAGTAGAACCGATCGGGGCAGCACGATGTACAGAGAGTGAGGTTTTGCTTCTGGTCTGTTACAGAATCATCCTGAATGTTCTGCGGTAAAACACCCTCGGCCTCCAGAAGAACCCTTTCGCAGGAAGGGGGAAAGAGAGCATTTTGTCTGTTATGCGCCTGGGTATTACTGCCAGCACCTGTTTTAAAACTCCTTATATGGGATTAACTCCCATGACCTAGTTTCACAAAGCGGCTAAGACTGGCAAACATGGTTATTCATGCTTCTTTTTTTCTTTTCTTTTCATTTCAAGTTTTTATATGCTGTCCAATACCACAGTCTCTGGATGGCTTACAAAATAAACATAAAAACATAAAACAGCTTACCAACAAACACACTGCATCTGACGATTAATTATACAATCAGAGATAAAACCAATGAAATATTGAAATGTTGGGGAAATAAAAAGGTTTTCGTCTAACATTGAAAAGAATAAAGGGACGGCACTAGGACAGTGCCCTGGCGAGCATGTTCCAAAGTCGGGGCACCACCACTGAAAAGGCCCTCGATACCTTGCAGATTTATTTATATTTATTTTATTTAGGAAGCTTCTATGCAGCCCCATTCGCCAAAGCCTCAGGGTGGCTCACAACAATAATGTCTTAGGAGCTTAGAAACATCAAGCCAGACTGAATGGTGCTCTGTTGGACTACAAGCCACAGTAAGTATATGACCAGTTACCATGTGCAGCTGAGGTTAAAGTATAGCCTAGCCTAAGTAAAATGCTGCTCCTCACCAGAAGTAATATTTAAATCGATCTTATTCATGTATTTCGTAATCTGTAGATTGGCCCACAACCTGGCACTTCCAAGACGCGTCCATGAGCGAGGTCAGCACAGCCTGCACCCTCATGCAGTGAAGCAGAGGCAGAGTGAAGACAGGACGGCAGCGCCCGCACGGGGCACATGGGCCTCCATGGGAGGGTCTCCTGGGCCGGGCCAGGCGAGGAAGGGCAGAGCACGCGGGTGGGGGGGCTCCCTCCCCTTCGGCTGCCCCGCCGTTGATCCGGGAAAGGACGGCCTCAGCAGGAGAGGCCTGCTCTTGCCAGCCCTGGGGCTCCAGGAAGAACAGCAGCCCAGCTTACCGTGTGGCTCTCCTAATATCGACGTAAGGGCTGGACGATTCGTAAAGCCGCACGCACTTTGGGTCGATTCGGTAAAATTCCTCTGCCGATTCCCGGGGCAGCCGGAAGCAGCACGGCCCCACCGAGGGGCCCAGGAGCACGAGGATGTCCTCCGCCTTGCAGCCGTACTCGGTCCTCATGGCCCGCACGACGGCCGTCGACACGCCCCGCAGGGTGCCCTGCCAGCCTGCGGAGGGGAGAAGAACAGGCGCCTCACCTTTGGGCCCCGGCAGGCGAAAGCGAGGACCACCGCCGTCCCGGCACAAAGGGGTGCCGGCTTTTCGATATGTGCGGCAGGTGTGAACGAGCGTCTCTGGGCAGGCAAGTCTGCATCACAGGCCAAAGCAGACACCGTGTTGGTACCTGTCCTTGCTTTTTGCACGTCTCGCTCCACTTACGTGTCAGGTGCAGCCCACCTGTGCATTTCGCACCTGCCAAGATCTCCATGGAGATTCCCAGCATCCACAATGACCGAGGGGAGCTGGCAGACTGAAGCTGACCCCAGGGCTGCCCCCTGGAATGGCTGCCCCTCGAAGAACGGTGTGGGGCAGTGGTAATGAGCATGGGCGTGGGGCTCAGGCGACCCGGGTTCAAGTCCCCGCTCGGCCAGGGAGCCCACTGGGTGACTTTGGGCCAGGCACAGGCTCTCGGCCCAGCCTACCTCACAGGGTTGTTGCTGTGGGAGGTAAGATTGAGAGCAGGAGGAGGAGACGGATGTACGCCATCTCCGAGTTCCCTGGAAGGCACAAAGGTGGGATGTAAATATAATTCATACATAAGGCTATAGAAGCGTAATGGCCCCTGCCTGGAAGGTCCATCCGTTCCCTCCACAGCTTGGCAAAGATGGCCCCAGGCCTGTGATGCTGCCTAAGCCCGGAGGAGCTGAGCCTAAGCGCTCGTCTGCGAGCCCCACACGGGAGCTGGAAGCGAGAACCACGCGAGCGCCCAACACGTGCTCCGGATGCTCCGGCGGGGGCGAGGCTGCGGGGCCGGTGAGAAACTGCTGCGGCACCGGCTGAGCACTAAACCTTGTCCTCTGTCTTCCCATTCCTTCGGCAGGCCTTCCCCGCTCATTCAGCGTGCAGAGAAGCAGCAGTTTCCTTGAACCATTAGAGGAAAAGGGCAATCCAGCACGTGTGCGTCCAACTTTTTTAGAACAGAAATGTCTGTGTGTGTGAAAGATGACAGACCCGGCACCTTTCCCAAAGCTCTGACCCTGCCGGCACCTTCTTCTCCAGCTCAGGTACCAAAACTGAACCAGAGAAAAGCACCTGAAGTGACGCGCATCCCAAGGGACGTGGATTGGGTGAGCTCTCCCTCATATACACCTCTTCTATTCAAAAATAAAATAACATGAAGAGGGGAAGGATTATCTTCTGAAAATGGCTTTGTTCTTGTACCCAGCACAGAATGCTTACAACTCGAGCTCCTCTCTGTGTGGGTTTGTAAGGAATTGGGGAAGAGGCTGAGAAACGTGCGGGAGTTGCACCTAATAGTCCTCCATGGGTAATTAGCTGTGTCAGAGAGAAAAAACAGGAAAAGTAATTACTGTCAGTGGTTCAGAGAGCAAAATGGGAAAGAGACGCCTGCACAAGGAACGAGGCAAGCAGGGAAATCGTGTCAGATGCAGGGCGGGATGCTGCTGCTGGGTGGATTCGGTGGCTTTTGCAAGCCAGCAAGGACTCCTCTTACCCGAATGGGCCGCGCCACAAGCTTTTAGGACAGGATCCGCGAAAAGCACAGGAATGCAATCAGCCCCAGGAGCCGCGATGGTAACACGTTTCTGGTTTGTGATTATCCCGTCGTAGCTGTCTGGTTTGGCCTTTCCCATGACCCAGACATCACTGGCGTGGTTGACCTGTTAACATCAAGCCAAGCTGAAAACCTGAGTTCCAAGAATCTTTCCCGGTGCAACTGATGCTGTTGCCCGCAAACAGCTTTCACTGGCCTGGGAGCACATCGGGTTTACAGGAATTCACCCCCCACCAGAACCACAAATTCCACCCAAGGAGGCAAAGACATGTGTTTCGAATTAAATATTTCTGAGCCCAGAAATATTTCAGTTCTGCTTGGAATACTAGAACTATTAGTATTCCAAGGAATCTAATTCCATACAATCTATGGAATGTGCTCCCCAGAGAGGTCCGCCTGGCGCTGTCATTTGTTTTTCAGCGCCAGGCGAAGACCTTTTTATTCAAACGTCATTTTAACTGTTAATACTATTTATTTATTTTATTCTTCGGCCAGGGCGACTTATTTTATATTGTTAACTTGTTTTATATTTTTATTGTATAATATTTTAATCGATATATTTGTGAGCCGCCCCGAGGCTTCGGCGAATGGGGCGGCATAGAAATTTTCTAAATAAAATAAATAAATAAACTGAATTCACACAAAAAATCCACTCTCTCTCACTGTCAAGCCTTGCCCAGGTTTCTTGATTTCAGTTTCATTGTGGAACAGGGCCAGAGTCATTGCTAAACAACTGGAAGTCTGAAATTCTTACCAACCTACTTTGTGTTACTCAGCGAGTCAGATTCTAGGAATTCCCCGCTTCTGCCCCTGCCCTGCCCTGCCCTGCCCTGCCCTAAATGATCAGAAGCCAAGAGAATTCAGGGTCTATTCCCACGTGAATCCCATCACTCAAGCTCTCTTTGGAACCGCTGCTCTGGACACTCTTGGATGCTAAAAGGAGCATTCCGGTTCCCCAAGCTTTTGAGCGAGGCTTCTTGTGGTAGGGGCCACAAGAAGATGGGAAAGGCTTTGAGACACCCTTCTGCAGCCTACCACCTGCAGGATTCTTCGTCTTACCCTTACGCTGTGATACGCGTCTGCATCGAGCCCCGCCACTGCCGCCAGGCGACGGAGGTTTTCCTTGACCACAGCAGGCGGGTCGCGCCGCTTGGAGCTGCTGAAGAGGTTGCAGGAGCTCAGGGTCGGTATGTACGAGATGCCACCAGTCCTGGTTGTGAATCCATGGAGGAAGACGTGATCTAGGGAAGAAGAGCAAGGTGCGGGAACGCATAAGGCCTCCGTTACGCCCTCCGGCACCAGCGTGCGTTAAGGCCGGGCCGAGTAGCAGCCGGGCTTTCTATTTTCTCAAACGGGAGATCAAGCATCTGGAAGAGTCCATTTTAAATGTCCTAAAATCCTTATTTTCAGGCTCTGACCATGCAAACTTTGACATTTGGTTGGCTTTTATTCATTGCCCCATTCTCTGTCTCTGATGGCTCTTTTTATTTTTGTAACAGCTTAACCGATAACGAGTTCTGTGCAAAAAGCATACACAGATTATGTGACCTTCTGGTCAAGTTCAGGGCAGTGTGTGCTCTCCAGCAAAAGGTGCATTTAGAAACTAAATTATTATTCTACAGCAACTCTTTTCAGTAGACGCGCCTGGTCTTTCTGGAGGAGCCAACTTCTCCGGCTGCCGCCACCCATTCCTGTACAATGTCAGCTGTCCCTTACACAGAAAGGCCCAAAGGCTTCCTGCTTGGAAAAACTAACAAGAAGATCAATGGAGGAATAATCAGATTATTAAACATGCGTTCATATTACCTGGGATCAGCGAAGATTTGAGAATGGTGAGGTTTCCCTTCAGACCCGGAAGACTTCCCAAAAAGAACCCGATTTCACTTCGGATGCTTTCCACATCTTGGTCTGTGAGCGGCACCAATTCCCCCTGAGATGTGCAGGGCTCCCAGAGGTCGTTGTCACCACCATTCAACTGCAAATCTTTAAATTCAAACTGATAAACCTTAGTGAAAAGCTGGTTAATATACTCCCTCAATAAGGGTTTCCTCTGCACTGGCAAGATTATTTCGACAGTATTTATGTCTTTTTCATCGAGCTTTTGCTTAACGGTGTACAAAACGGCAGCCGTCGTCTTGCAACAGACAACTGTGAATCCTTTCTCTGGACAATGGAAGCCTTGTGCCGCCTCTGGAAGTCCATCTGTGCCGTTCCTTTCACTTCCGGGCGTTTGGCAACACATGAGGTAAACCGATGGAGCTTGGAAAGCAGTCTTCTCTCCAACAGTTTCTAGGATCTTGCTAATTGATTCCTGGGTCTGAGTATTCCAAGAACTGATTTCCAGGTGGCATAGATCAATTAGAACTGCCTTGGCCATATCCTATGGTGATGGGCAAAACTGGAGCTCCTGGACATGTAATGAGCAATCCTGAGAGAGAGAGAGAGACAGAGAGAGAGACAGAGAGAGACAGAGAGAAGAAAAAGAATGGAGAGTGTGTATTCTTTCCAAGGTCATGCTCTTTCTTTTCTGAGAACAGTCATTACCAAGTCACAACCAGTTGGCTCTTTGGCAGGTAAAGAAACGAATCGGAGAAAACAAGTCCTAAATGTTTCAGGCTGTAATCCAATACCCGTTTAGCTGGGATTCAGCTCCACTGAACTCAATAAGACTTACTGATGACTAGACTTGTGTGGAATTGCACAGCTGCATTATGTGTGCTTTGGAAGCTCTTTGTGAACAGAATTTGGAAGTACAGGTAGCATAACTGAGACACCTTTTCTTTGCATTTCGATTTCTCCCTCTGAAAGAAGTGGAAAGCCAACAGCTTTTTATAGCGTTTCCTTCAATGTTGGATCAGCTTTGCAATCAGCAATTGATTTTTTTACCACATTAAAACAGTCCCCCAGAATGATCTGGCTTTGTATATCTGTTTTATTTAATACGGAAACGCTTAGAAATTAATTTGAATGCAAAATTTAGACTCAGGAATCCAAGCCCATCTTAAGCTAATTCCTCCCACCCCTCAAACTTTCGCCAGCTGGATTTTTCCTTCTCAAAACCACTATTTCTCACATGCATGTGTGACATTGGCCGGACTTTCTGTTGCAGATAGCCACGCGGGCCTTCCACTGAGATGCTTTTGAGGAATCGTGAACAATGATTATTTCAATGTCATTTCCAGGCATTTAAGTTAGAAATGCGGTATGGAAGGCATACAGAATGCACGTCAGGGAAAATCAAAAGCCACAGAAGAGAAGGAAGACCGAAGATGGACGTATTCCATAAAGGAAGCCACGGCCTTGTGTTTACAAGAGCTGGCCAGGGTCGTCAAGGGCGTTCACGCATCGGAAGGCTTCCAACGGTTGTAGAACGTGCCGGCACATAACAAGAACGGCAGAAGCGACAGAATACAGGATCCGGCAGCAACAACTGTGAGAGCGAGAGGCCTGGAAAGCAGAAGTCTCTCTTCCCTGGTCGTGACCCCAGGCCTGCCCCCGTCCTGGCTGGAGGTCTGGCTCAGAGAGGTCTCCAACCCTCACCCCCAAGAGTGTTTTGCAAGGTGTTCCAGTGCTGCTTTTGGGATGCACCCTCATTAGCACAATAAAGTATTTCGGGAACAACATTATGGAAAAAATTGTGCACACAATCCCAGGGAAAGGCTTCTAAGGGGGGTGACCACAGGTGCCCTGGGAGCTCCTTGGGGAGGCAACCTCCAGCGGCCAGTTGCGAAACCTGCTGTGAAAGGAAGACTTTTGGGGGTTTGGCAATCTCCAATAGTGTCCTTGGAAAAATGGAAGGACGGTCATGAAGAGTTGTGGGAGGCAGGGGAAGCCTAGGAGTCCCCATGCAGGAGGCCTGAAGGTGGGGAGAGGCAGGTTATGCTGGAACCGCGACGCACCTGGCTCTTTTGCCCGGCACAATGCCACCCTGGGGCCGATTGGACGGCCTTGTGAGCACCGGCTCACCCCGCGATGGCCGGTGGACAAGGAGAGCGAGGCACCTGCACAGAGCAACAGTCTTTTCTCCTTTACAAGCAGCACTACTTCGGAATATCCCCTTCTTCACTCTTGGACCTCTTCTAGCCAACATCACTCCGAACAGAGATCTTGATCGGACTCTCTTCAAGGATGAGTCCTACCCGTGTTTGCATTCCCAAGATCAGGCTGCAATGCACGCTTGCTTGTGCAAGCGCCCTATAATTTACTGGGAGCAAATTAGGAATTATTATTATTGTTATTATTATATAGGAATGTGTAAGATCAGGCAACAAATTCAAGCCAGGGCTGCACTCTGAAGCATATTTACTAATTTAGTAACTGATGTCACGTTAATGGGCTCCATCCCACCAGGGTTTATACCTTAATGCATTTGTTCAGTTTTCAAGGTACCAGAGGAGCACTTGTAAAATTTAGTGGACTTACACTAAAGCATAATGAATTCAACGGGATTCCTGAGGACTAGGAGGGCTGAGCGACTAAAATAACACTTCCAAGGAAGGCATCAACCAGCTCGCAAACTCAGACGAGAGAAACAGGTAGGTGCCTGGCAGGGCATTAACAGCAAGAGGCCGATACTGCAAAAGCAGAAGAGCAAATAGATGCATTTACTTACTGCAGAAATGCGTTGCAGCACCTGGACGAGTCTGCGCCCTCCCGGAGACCCTATTTTCTCCCCTTTGGGAAACCTCCCAAGAACATGTCGACGAGAAAGGAAGGGAGGAGAGCAGCAGAGCTTGCTTTAAATGCTGCGACAAAATGCGCTGACCCAGTAACGGCGGGGAGTTCCAACGTTTCTGCAAAGCGCTGCTTGTCCAATCAATCCCTCCGAAGTTGCTGCGCTAACCGGAAGAGCGCGCTGACTCCTGGCAGGCGTGCAAAGCGGAGCCGGCGTGCTGTGGCGTGCAAGCTCGGCGCCTCCTGCTTTCCCCCCCCCCCCCCCGCGTGCGGAAGTGGGAGCTCCCCGGTGCAACAGCGCGGGGGGGGGGGTCGCAAAACTTTGGAGCGGCAGCTGCGTTGTGCCAGTCAGTCTGGTCTGCCGTCCACCGGACTGCTTTATGTCTATGGGCAAAGAAATTCCAGCGGCAAAGAAAGCTGCGCTTGCTCTCTCTCGGGTCCGCCCAGATAGACGCGCCTTTTCTTTTTGCACGGCTAAGCAATGCTTTGCAAAGCCTCATACAGCCCGTGGCGTGCCGGGAAAGGCTGGCTCGCCCGCGCATGTATCTCGCTCTGAATATTCCCGAAGTGCACGTGAGGACATGCCCTCTCTTCGGCCAAGCCGAGTGAAGCTTGGATGCAAGCTTTACAGCTCTCCAGGGGTCTTCATCGGGCTAGACGGCCCAGGGAGGGAGGAACAGCGGTTGCAGCCTTGAACCCGCGCTTAGCGCCAGTCTGAGCTGGGACGCGGGGGAGAGCTGCCGAGGCTCAAACTGGGCTCCACCAGCTGCCCCAGCGTGTGCGCGGGGTCCCCCAGCTGCTCCCGGACGAGCGAGCAGTGGTGTTGGTTCTCCAGGTCTGAAAACAGAAAACTCGAATGGTGGCTCGGCTTGCGGCTCGTGAGGGAAAGCGGCCGGCGGCTCAGCGTGTGCAGACGGGGCCGCTCGCAGGGTCTGTCCAGAAAGCTGGAGGGCATTTGCGGGGGGGGCCCGCCTGGGTGTGAACGTCCCCAGAAGCCACGGCGGCCAGGCAGGCCTGGCAAAGGGGTGGCTGGACGCACGAAATGAACACGGGCAGCTGCAGGGCTTCGCCAGCCGGGGCCCGAGGAGGAGGGAACGCGAATGAAGGGGGCCTGGAGGGCGGCAGGCTGTGGCAGGGGCCCCGCAGGCCAGGCGAGCGGCAGGTGGGGCCGGGCCTCAGCCTTTCGCCCGCAGCCCAGGTATGCGGGCAGGACCCAGGCTGTTGCAACGGGACGGCGCGCAAAACGCGTCGGCTAAAGCGCTGCCTTGGAGCAGCGTCTCTGTTCTTGCCGTCGGTAAGTCGCGGAAACCTTGGGCAGCGTGAAAAGTTAGCCGTGCGGGAGTTTTTGCCGGCAGGCGTCTGGTGGAGGCCCTGCTCGCTTCCCACAGGAGCCTCGTGCATTGCAGTGGTTCTCTGTGCATGCTCAGTGGACCGGCTTCCTTGCAAATGGGCGGGGCAGCTTGGCCTTCTCTCTTTCGGTGCCTCGCCCAGGAAAATCCGCAGTGCAGGGCAAACCGTGCCTCCGGGACGATTGCCCCCACGGCTCATTTTCTCACTGAGAAGTTAACCAGGAAGCAGCTGAGGAACCGGTTGAAAAGACCGGATTCATTGGTCCCCGCGGATCGATCGATGGATCGATCAATTAATTAATTAATAGCTTTTCTAACCCATCTGCTACAGACGTCTTGGGACGTCATACAAAAAAATGTTAATTAGCAATTGATTAATGGTTGGAAACTGCCCAGAGAGTCGTTTGGGCCTGTCAGAGACTCTCAGCCAAGCCTCCCTCACAGGGTTGTTGTTGTGAGGGTAAAATGGAGAGGAGAACGATGGAGGCTACCTTGAGCTTCCTTGAAAGGAAAAACAGTTGGGAGGGAAATATAAATTAAACGAGCACCCCTTAAAAGGCGTGCAAGTCATTAAATGGACAGAGCAGTTTCACGGTTTATGTACATGCTAATAAATGGATCTGTCAGCCAGTTTGGGCACCTGCTTCCAGGACCGAATCAAGGATTGATTGGTTGATCGGTTGGTTTATTGAACATGCAGGTAGATTTGGCGTTTGTCTGCAGCTGAAGGCCTCGCAGGTGTTAGAGGAACATACACGAGGGATGCAGGAGACGCAGCTTGAATTTGGGGCAAGGAAACAGTGGGATGCCGTGGAGGCCGAAAGCGGCTCAGAGCGATGGAGGGCCCCGTCTGAGATGCCCTCCTTTTATTTCCAGGTTCCTCCTTTTTGGGATTCAGAGCAAGAAAAAGGAAGCCTGTGGACAAACAAGCCAGTGCAGGCCTTGGCCGTCCGGCGGGACTATTTCTGAGCCTTTGGCCCTCAGGGAGGGCAGATACCGTGTTTCCCTGGAAATAAGACCGGGTCTTATATTAATTTTTGCTCCAAAAGACACACAAGGGCTTATTTTCAGGTGATGTCTTATTTTTTCACGTACAGCCATCTACATTTATTCATGTACAACAATCTACATTTATTCAAATACAGTCATGCCATCTTCTTCTGGAACAGTGTCATAATTCTCCAAACCCCGGCTTGTGTTGCAGCGGACGTACTAAATGCGTCTCTCTGGCGGATGATCTTAACTGGGGCTTATTCTGGGGGTAGGACTTCTATTACTGAATAAACTGAATAACTCAACCCAGACAAGACGGAGGTCCTGTTGGTTGGCGGATCGGGTTTCGGAGAGGGTGGATTTGACCTGGTCCTGAATGGTGCAACACTCCCTCTTAGGGATAAGGTCCGCAGCTTAGGAGTACTCCTCGACCCGGAGCTTTCTTTGGAAGCTCAGGTGACAGCGGTAGCAAGGAACGCCTTCCTTCAGCTTCGGCTGATTAATCAGCTGCGCCCCTACCTGGAATACGACTGCCTGGCGACGGTGACACACGCGCTGGTGACTTCCCGCCTAGACTTCTGTAACGCGCTTTACGTGGGGCTTCCCCTGAAGACAGTCCGAACACTTCAATTGGTGCAAAATAGAGCTGCCAGGTTGCTGACGGGGACGGGGCGTTATGCTCACATGACTCCAGTCCTCCGTCAGCTTCACTGGCTTCCCATTGAGGCCCGGGCCCAATTCAAGGTGTTGATTATGACCTACAAAGCCCTAAACGGCTTGGGTCCTGGCTACCTGAACGAGCGCTTACGTCTGTATACGCCCGACCGCCCTTTGAGATCTGCGGGAGAGTCCCTTCTCCGGGAACCCTCCATGAAAGAAATTAGGAGAGTAAGTACCCGGAGGAGGGCTTTCTCTGCGGTGGCGCCCAACCTATGGAATTCACTCCCCAAAGAGGTCCGCCTGGCACCGTCGTTACTGGTTTTTCGGCGCCAGGTAAAGACCTTTTTATTTAAACATCATTTCAATTGTTAAAACATATGATCTGGCCTGGGCAACTTCTTCTTCCTTCTCTTTCTCCTCCTATATTTTTATTTTATACTGATAATTTTAATTTTGTATTTGTAAATCAATGTATTTTTTGTATTGTTATATTTAATGGTAATTTATTATGTACTATTGTATTTCAATGTATTTTATCATGTTGTAAGCCGCCCCGAGGTTTCGGCAAGGGGCGGCATAGAAATGTTATAATAATAATAATAATAATAATAATAATAATATTACGAGCATCCTGGAAAATCATGGTAGGGCTTATTTTCCGGTTTGGTCTTATTTTTGGGGAAATAGCGTAAATCTCATGGGAATGGGGCCACAGCATTCCCAAATTGCTTGCCCCTTCCTGTTGTTTTATTTGTCTGCCTCTCCTGACGCATCCCAGCAAGAAAATGGCATTTTTCTCCTTGGTCCCTTTTTGCAGCAAGGTGATATTTGCTGCCAACAATATTCCTTTGCAGATGTTGTGAGGAAAATGCACCAACTTCCCTCTTTCTTCCCGCAGAGAGCTTTCCAATCCCGGCAAGAGCCGCGAGAATAAAATAATTCAAGGGGAAAGTATTTTATCCCTCACAGGTGATACTGGAAAAGTTGGAAGTGAAGTAAAAGTTGGAAGTGAAGTAAAAGTTGGAAGTGGAGGCTGGGTGGAGAATCAAAGCTGGGAAGAGGGAAAGAGCATCTCCCCAAGCTCTAAAGACAACTCAGACTTTCCCAGATGTTGTCATACTACAATTCCCATCAGCCTTAGGCCAAATTAAGGATGGCGAGGGACAATGGGAGTTGCAGGCCAAGAACACTTGGAGATACCTGAGGCTGGCATTTTTGGGTGTCTGTGGGGAATACCAAAATAGAAAGAAAGACCAAAAGTTCATTGTAATATTTTCAACAAGAAGCAAAACTGGCCAGAAAATGTTTCTTTTAAAGGAATAGATAGACACATGTGTGTGCTTATGTGTATAAACACAGAGTAGCTGAATGATGCCAGATTGATTGCTTATGCTGCAAAAATAAAACCAATAAAAATAGCTATTGAAGCTATTTTAATTAAAGCAATCTGAAGTAAAGGGAATAATGCAATGAAAAATACAGTTTTAAAATAAAATTTTTGAAAGAAACAAAACATTAAAAGTTTTCAGTAATCTGTTGCTAGAAAGATTGCATTTTTCAAATGTAAATAAAATTTTAAAAATCATTTTTAAATGGAAAATGGGTTATATGGATAAAAATAAATAATACTGGGAAAGCACAGTTTATGTATTTTACTTCTGTGTATGCTATAAAACAGAAATATATAAAAGACTAAGAAACTTGAACCTATGAAGTGCTTTAAATATGTTAATTTCTTTAAAAATAGGGAAAATGTTAATATATAAAAACTACTGTCTTGCATTGCAAGATAGGTTTGCAAGGAAATGTGTGGTAATCATGTTTCCTTCCCATTGCAATTTCCCGTCCCTTCCGGAAAAGTCTCAGGAACTACATGGGGTGGGTTCCAGGGAACGTGGCCGGGACCAGAAAACGTTCCTTTTATGAACTTCCTTCAGGCTGCCATCCCAGAGGTCTTCCAAAGCCATTATGCCCCACCAGCATGGCACATGCTGGGTGCAGAGGGACTCTTAGGGTTTAAGTCAGTTTTTGGGGCCATTCCCCTCTGGAAAGCTCCTGAGCCCCTCACCTGGGAGACCAAATCACTGGAGAGAGTTTAGGAGCAGCAGGTGGACACCTGGGAACTTCTTCAGGCAACTTCAGGCAACCCATCCAAGCCAATGTTTACAATAAAACGATCCTCGTGTTTTGTATTCAGGTCTGTGGTTAGACATGAGATGCAAACCAACGAGAGATGGTTAGTGCATTTGGGTGAGCTTGAGAAGAGAGAAATTCTTGCACCAGTCGGTATATTAATATTGTACTTTTAAACTGCAATTTTCCAGCCGGCTTTCCAATGCTGTCTGTCTTTTCCCCGTTAGCCATGGCAAGTCCGAGTTCTCCGTCATTAACTGAAGTGGTGAAACGAGTAGCAGAGCAGCAGAATAGTCAAGCCGCCGAAATAGAGACGGGCAAGGCTCTTCTCGCGGAGTTGCAGGTGATGGGGACATTTCGATCAATAGTTTTGCATGTCCACAGTGCTTGTTTTTAGCAAAGGCCAACCTTTTAAAAAGATGAGCTTTGCTTGCTGCTGAAAGGAATACAAAGATGGTGCCAAGCGAATCTCTTTAGGGAAGGGCATTCAAAAAATGGGGGGGGGGGCAGCAGTAGATGAGGCCCTCTTTCTGTTAACCACCCCTCTTACTTCCTGGAGGGCCCCAAAAGGACCCCCTGCCTGGTTCCCAAGGGCCGGGCAAGTATCTATGGGTGCAGGCAACCCTTCAGATAAGCAGGGCCTAAGCTGGTTTATCCCATTATATTAACGATTTAAGCAACTTGGGGACTTTAACTCCCAGCTGTGATCTGAATCGTTTGGAGGACTACTGGTTACCTTCCTCTGGTTTTTAGCCTTCTGTCTCAAGCATTAATTTTTCACTGGTGTGTCTGCACATTTTATGTTATATAACAAGTAAACTAAAGCGGCTAAGAGTATTGTTGGCCCAGGACTTGGGAAATTGGGGTTCTGGTCTTCTCTTGGTCATGAAATTCACTGGGGACTTAAGGGCAGTCACCGTCCCTCGGCCTAACCTACTGTGCAGGGTTGTTGTGAGGATAGACTGGAGAGGAGAAGGACCACGGAAGCTGCCTTTGGGCACTCGCAGAAGAAGAAAAGGCAGGGCATGCCTGTGAAAATAAATAATAAAAACTAACTAACTGTTGTAAGCCGCCCCGAGGCTTCGTTGAATGGGGCGGCATAAAAATGTTTTAAATAAATAAATAAATAAATAAAACTGTTACTATATTTTTCTGTAGACTCAGCTGCAGGAGCTTGAATTCCAAATGAATTGTGTTGACTCAGAAAGAAAGGCAATAGAAAGGGAAATTTATCATCAAGATGAAAGCACAGCCAGTTTGAAAGATCGTTGTGAAAAGCTGGGCAGGCAGAGCGCAGGCTTGTCTGCCGAGAATGTAAAGCTGCGATTTGATGCACAGACTTTGGAAGAAGAATTTAAAGGCATGCTCCGAAGAAACAGGGCCTACTATGAGAAAATAGCTGCTCACAAAGACCGTTTTGTGGAGGTGGAAAGTAAATTGCCACTCATGACTGAACTCTCGAAAAAACGAGCTGCCGTCAAGGAGATGATCCTGCAGAAGGAAGCGCTTGTCTCTTCTCTGCGGAATCCGGATGTGCTTTCTGCAAGCCCAGTGCAGGTCCAGTTAATTTGCTTTTTCAACTACTTTATCTGACTTTTTTGTTCCTTGCAGCAGTCTGAGAATTTTGTCACAATGAGGGAAGCGGTTCCATTTGTGTTGCCTGGTGCACCTGACTCTGAAATCAGCTCGGTCAGCTGCTGTCATTAGTTGCTTACGGAAAGCTGTACTCATTGAAGTGAACTGCCCTCTGTCCAGCAAATTAGTTTTAGGCTGCAGCTCAAACTACCTTGTCCCAGGATTGCTTTTATTTTACAAGCTAAGCTTCATTTCCTGTTCCCCTTTTATTTGCTGATTAGAAAAATTCATTCTAAATGGTGCAAATGTGGGAAAACTCTGGGAATAAACAAGACCTCGCAACTTGAGCAACATTTATTTTTGTTTCCTCTTTCTTTGGACAAAGACAGAGAAAACATTCCCCCGTTGTGCCACTTGCCGTGTATTGTGCACTCGAATGGGTGCTCGCGGTGGGCGGTGGTCCCAGTGTTGGACTGGGGACTTGGGAGAATCTGGCTCGCTGGTTTTACCCAGTGTGTATTGAAGCCTTCTAGAGAAACAGTCAGAAAAATACTTTTCTTTTTTCTATTCCTTATTTGAGTGTCTCCTTAGGAAGAAATTGCATGTTTGCAAGGTGAAATTCATGCTCTGAAAGAAGCTGTCCATGAAAAAGAAAAAGCACTTCGAGATGAGCGAAGCATGCATGCGCAGCTTCAAAAAGAAATCGAGGTGAGTTTTCCTCCTTGGGACACATGTCCAGCTCTGCTGGGAGAGTGTGTTGAGGAGGAGGCGGGCTGACGGAAGGAGAGGTTCCACCCGGGACTTGGCCAGGGACTTTCAGAAACCTGTAACCAGCACTGGCCACATGCTTATTACCTAAGCTCTGCCTGTGAGACATTTGTCACACGCTTGTCCCTGCTGACTCGCGTTCTTGGGGTGGCATCATGGCCTCCCATTTGACCTCTGTGTCCAGCCAGTGTCCTCAGTTGTTTTAGAGCAGAAAAATTGTGGTGTTTCCTTGGGAAAGCAAATCTGTGGTTCTGGTGTTCCACCCAGAGGTTATGTAGTAGAAAAGCAAGAGAGGAAATGAATTTTCTTTGTGCTCCGATCTCAGTTCTGCAATGAAACTGAAGGGAGATACCAGGGATTGACTGCCCAGTGTGGAAAAGTTGTATAACTCTATTTAGTATTAGTACAAAACGGAAGGACGGACATAGTCAGTTTTCTGCTAAGCAGCATTCTGTCTTGCTAATAAACCCACGTGTTCCATTCTTCTGGTTCATTCACTTTTTGAAGCTAGAATCCTATGCAAACTTATCTGGAAGGAAATCCCACTGGAGGCACTAGGGCTTACTTCTGCGGAAGCACATGCAGGATAGCACTGTAAACTTGGGACATGTGGCTTTAATTCTAAGGGAAGGATTCTGCACTTCGGCTCCACCTGTTCTAGGTTTGTTTTGTGACTGGAATGGGCCACTCGCAAGAGAGAGGAGGCTGCTCAGAAGGAATTTCTGCTGCATTCAGGGGGGCATCTCCCCTAATATAAAAGTTAACCTAACCTGTCAGATATATTGCTGGGGTGTTGTTCTCTTCCATAATGTGATCTGCTCAATACTCATATTGAAAGGCAGAACATGGCTTGGAGCATCTTTGAATGTCTATTATAAAGATACAAAGGTAAAGGTAAAGGTTTCCCCTTGACATTAAGTCCAGTCCTGCCTGACTCTAGGGGGCGGTGCTCATCCCCGACTCCTGGCCGAGGGAGCCGGTGTTTGTCCGCAGACAGTCTCCGTGGCCACGTGGCCGGCAGGACTAAACACCAAAGTGCACAGAACGCTGTTACCTTCCTACTGAAGTGGTACCTTTTTATCTACTTGCATTTGCATGCTTTCGAACTGCAAGGTTGGCAGGAGCTGGGACGGAGCAGCGGGAACTCACCCCGTTGTGCGGATTTGAACTGGTGACCTTTTGATCAACCAGCCCAGCAGCACAGCGGTTTAAACCACTGCACCACCTGCAGTCCCAGTTATATCTTATAAAGATATAATTGATCGTAATTTCAGTGAGGAATGGAAGAGATAACTGTGCAGAGGGCATTAAACATGTCCCTCATACCTTTAAAATGTCTTTCAGTTTTAAAAATAATAACAGCAGCATAACTTTTAGATGTTATTTTGGCATAGTAAAGGCTTGGTGATGATGTGCAGGATGCATCTCAAGGCTTTATAATGGCAGTGCTGGGTAACCTCCTGCAGATGCTCTGGCTGGCAGATGCGTGCAGGAACAACCTGCAGCCCAGGTGTTGGCGTTATTCATTCAGTTGTGCCGGTGCATTTCTCAGGGACTTTATTCCCACTGTAACAGGTGCAGAATAAAAGATGCGAAGCTATGCTCAAGCGTTTGCAGTGCCAAGTGAACAAGCGGCAAGCCAATAAAAGACGGTGGTGCTGGAACATTTAACAGGTGGAAGGGAAGGCCGTGCGGCTGAGGAAGCCCCTTGGAGTAATTGCTTAATAAGCTCATTATAAGATACGGCCCATTCTCTCTGTGCACCAAGCCTTTAAGTGAATCTCAAATTGAATAACCTAATAATTGTCCGTGAAGCTTTTCCGTTTCCTGTCCTGTATTTTCTGTATTTTCCCTGGTTATATTCATAGTTTAGTAACATAAAAAGTGAATTTGCAATGCATAAACTTGGGGTGGGTGGAAACAGAAGTGAATGCAGCTAGTTGCTCATTGCCTGATATATCGCTATGAAATATCACTGTGTTCTTTGTTTTTAGCCTCTCAAATATGTTCAGAGAATTCCTCAGTTAGAGATGGTTCTGGCATAGTTAAGTGGGCTACAAAATATACCTGACTACAACAATATTTTAAGTCATAACTTCTCTGCAGCACAATTAAAGGGGACAATAAACCATGAATGGGCCTGAACAGAAACACCACATTCTAATAATTAATACACTAAATGGTTATTTCTTGCTTTTACTATCTTGTTATTGACATCAGAATTCACAAATGGAAGTTTGTTGATTTTTTGTATTTTTGCCTTCATGTTCTGTAATAACAGCATTTGTTTAGAAAACCATTTGCCTTCTATTTTGCACACTTAGGCAAAGACATTTCCGTCCAACAGTACAGTTTCACATTGTAAGTTTCAGGCTGATTTTATTTATATCTATAGTTTTGCTTGTTTAATGAAATGCCCAGAGGTGGTTAGACTAACAAGGCAACTAAATTTAAAGCTAATAAGCATCCTGTCAAACTTTATGCCAATTTAGGAAATAATTAGCTACAGCAGTGACCAAGAAGCGGGATGTTTCTGCGATCAGTTGGATAGTCCAGGGGGAAGAGCAACTCAGTGGAGAAGATTCGAGGCTCCTTCCTGGGGGGCGGGTGTGTCGTCTCCACAGGGTAACCCTCACTTTTTGGGGTCCTGCCAGCACCAATAATTTTTGCTGGCCCATTTGCTTCAAGGGACAAGCCTATAACTGGACCCTGTTTGCAGTCTTTCAGGGCCAAGCCCCTCCGCAGCCCCATATGGCTGCCATATAGGGCAGGACCGAACAGACCCTGTTTGGGGAAGCTGTTCAGCGCGATGCCCGAGGTTGTGCCCGGGCTCACGTGGCATCCCCGCCGGTGGTTACGCACTGCCAAGCCATCTCCCGCTCACAGGGACCCTAGGAGTAGCAAAGGCCTCCGAGGCGCCCTGCCCGGCCCTGCCCTTGTAAGCGCCACGCCCCCGAACGCACTGGGGCCAAGATTCCTGGGGGGTTCCCTGTGGGACCCTGCCTTGAGTGGAAGCGAAGCCAAGCTGCATTTGCCTGCCTCCCCAACCCCAGATCAGGTTGTCCATGCCTGAGCTTGCCCTCTGGGCTCGAACAGTACACAAAGCCATGATGAGTTTATTAAACCCAGCCGCAAGCCGTGGTTACTCAGGGCGGCCTGTCAGCCATGCCGGGGAGCGTATCGGTCCCCTCCTAGGAAACACGGGCTGCCAAATCCTTGGAGCCGTTCCTTCAGCCCCACTGAAAGAATTACTCCACCTCCTTCCGGCCCCTTTCCCGCCGTGTGCCTTGCCTTGTTTCACTGAGGCTGTACGAGCTGTTCTAGGTGGCCTTTTGGTTGACCAGCAGCCTGAATGAACAAACAAACAAACAAACAAACAGATGAACGCAAGGAGCTGCCCTGCCATCCTAAGTGGAATGTGAGAAAGGAAAAGCTTCAAGAAAGACAACAGAACAGTAGTCGGATGTAGCTGATAGGCAATTAACATTTCCAAGACTACAAAGACACAAATCGCAATTTGAAATGGAGAAAAGGCGGATCAATGGAGGAAATCAAAGCTAGCTCATTACCTCTCTTAATGAAGCTTGTGTTCTTGCCCTTGTGACCTCCAATTCGCAGCAGCTGGAACTAATGTTTGGGGAGGGGGTGGCGAGCGTGCTGCCTTTTCATTCTGCCTGTCTGTCGATACCTTTGCGTGAGTCTCCTTCGCGCGACCTCGCATCGGCAGCCAGGCGGCCAGGGCCCTTCCTCCTGGACAGTCCTGCATTAAGGGAACGCCTGGAGGGAGTGGTAAGAAAGCATAGGAGGGCCACCAGGAATAGAAGGGGGGTCCAGACCCCTCCCACAAACAGGTGTGGATAGGGCAGGCCAGAAAAGGGCAGAGGGAAGGACTTTTCCCAGTCCTCTGCATGTCAAACGCCATTCATTTACTTGGGGCGTCTCTCTGCCCCATGCTTAGAATAGGTCCGAGGGGCTGCTGATCAGGAAGGAATTGTGCCTTCTCTTTGCAGCCATGTCTTCTATTTTCATTTTTATATACCACCAATTCCCATAGGCTCTGGGTGGCCTATAAGAAATCAAAACCAATGGCATCCAGTGCATGCCATGATCTCTCTCAACAGCTTCGCGTAGTTGATGGACAGCGCTAGAGGCCGAACGAGGTCGGTGGGACCCGGCAGGTCGCGGCACATTTGGGACTGGTCTGCAGTTGGTGCGGCCCAGGCGGTTCGGAGTGGGTTTCCTGAGCAGGGGCCGTGCCAGAGGCCCGCTCTGGCAGGTAGGAGCCCCTCCCTCTCTGGAGGAGGCACTGATGGTAAGGCATGGCGCCTCCCTCAGTGCTCCCAGCCCTGAGCTCGGTCGGCTCTTGACAGAAATTTTATCTGCAGAATGGTTCCTAAAAGTGAGCAAGTGAGGGCACTCAAGAAAGGTCGGGGGCGTGGGGGCTTGAGACCCCCTAAATGCCCCTTGCCGCCCTAAATGCTGGCTGTGAAATTGCGGCCACGAAGGATCCCTGCCTGGCTGCTCCTGTTGCCACCCCGTAGGAGCAGAGAGGCTCCCTGGAACGAGCTTGGTCAGAGCCGAGGTCCGATTCCCACCATTCCAACGACAGCGTCTCTCATGGCTCCCCCTCCCATTTCATTCATGGGATCTCCTCTGAGTCAGCCAAGGGTTTCCTGTACTCGGCCCATCCTGGTAGGTCCCTGGTTAAACTTGGTGTACCTTCTGAACCTTTTAGTGAGATGGGAGTGAAGGAAGATGCTCAGTAGGATTTCTGCCGAGGTCTCTGTCATTCACGAGGTGTGGCTGCGCCAGTATTTTTCCTCCCCAAAACTCAGTTGCTGTGCACTGATGAACACGTCAACAACCACGGAGCAGTTTCTCCTGTAGTTATGATGCCTTTGGGTGCCAGAGGCTAACGAATCATTTTGTACATTTGGAAGAAGCCAGAAGAACTTGAGGGCTCACATGTTTTTTATCATTTGTATTTACTGTCCCCCCTTCTTGGATCACTGCCTTGTCGTGGCGAAGGGGCTTGCGTAGCTCGATGAAGCTATGAGCTATGCCCTGCGGGGCCGCCCAAGACAGACAGGTCATAGCAGAGAGCTTGGTAAAACGTGATCCACTGGAGAAGGAAATGGCAACCCACTCCAGTATCCTAGCCATGAAAACCCCATGGACAGTGCCAAGAGACAAAAAGATATGACGCCGGAAGATGAGCCCCTCAGGTCGGAGGGTGTCCAGTGCGCTACTGGGGAAGAGCAGAGGGCTAGTACTAGTAGTGCCAGAAAGAATGAAGTGACTGGGTCAAAGCCAAAAGGACACTCGGTTGCAGATGTATCTGGTGGTGAAAGGAGAGTCCGATGCTGCAAAGATCTATACTCCATAGGAACCTGGAATGTAAGATCCATGAATCAAGGCAAGCTGGACGTGGTCAAACGAGATGACAAGACTGAACATCGACATCTTAGGAATCAGTGAACTAAAATGGACAGGAATGGGTGAATTTAATTCAGATGACCATCAGGTATACTACTGTGGGCAAGAATCCCTCAGAAGCAATGGAGTAGCCTTCATAGTCAATAAAAGAGTAGGAAAAGCAAAACTGGGATACAACCTCCAAAATGACAGAATGATCTCAGTTTGAATCCAAGGCAAACCATTCAATATCACAGTAGTCCCAAGTCTATGCCCCAACCACTGGTGCTGGAGAGGCTGAAGTTGACCGGTTCTGTGAAGGCCTACAACACTTTCTAGAATTAACACCCAAAAATGATGTCCTTATCATCATGGGAGATTGGAATGCTAAAGTAGGAAGCCAAAGGATAACAAGAATAACAGGCAAGTTTGGCCTTGGAGTACAAAATGAAGCAGGGCACAGGCTGGCAGAATTTTGTCAAGAGAATAAGATGGTCATAGCAAACACTCTTTTCCAACAACCCAAGAGCTGACTCTACACGTGGGCATCACCAGACGGTCAACACAGAAATCAGATTGACTATGTGCTCTGCAACCAAAGATGGAGAAGCTCTATACAGTCAGTAAAAACTAGACCAGGAGCTGACAGTGGCTCAGATCATGAGCTTCTTGTTGCAAAATTTAGGCTTAAATTGAAGAAAGTAGGGAAAAGCACTAGGCCACTCAGGTATGACCTAAATCATATCCCTGATGAATATACAGTAGAGGTGACAAATAGATTTAAGGAATTAGACCTGATAGAGTGCGTGAAGAACTATGGGTGGAGGTTTGCAACATTGTACAAGAGGTAGCAACTAAAACCATCCCAAAGAAAAAGAAATGCAAGAAAGCAAAATGGCTGTCTGAGGAAGCTTGACAAATAGCTGAGGAAAGAAGGGAAGCAAAAGGCAAGGGAGAAAGAGAAAGATACACCCAGCTGAATGCAGAATTCCAGAGAATAGCTAGAAGAGATAAGAATGCTTTCTTAAACGAACAGTGCAAAGAAATCGAAGGAAACAATAGAATAGGGAGGACCAGAGATCTCTTCAAGAAAATTGGAGATAATGAAGGGACCGTTTCATGCAAAGATGGGCATGATAAAGGACCGAAATGGCAGGGACCTAACAGAGGCAGAAGAGATTAAGAAGAGGTGGCAAGTTTACACAGAGGAACTATACAAGAAAGAGCTTAACGTCCCCGATAAGCACGATGGGGTGGTCACTGACCTCGAGTCAGACATCCTGGAACGTGAAACCTTAGGAAGTCTGAGCAACAACAAAGCTAGTGGAGGTGACAGTATTCCAGCTGAGCTACTCAAAATCCTAAAAGACGATGCAGTAAAAGTGCTACACTCAATATGCCAGCAAACTTGGAAAACTCAGCAGTGGCCATGGGATTGGAAAAGGTCAGTTTACATTCCGAACCCAAAGAAGCACAATGCCAAAGAATGTTCAAACTACCGGACCATTGCAGTCATTTCATATGCTAGCAAAGTTATGCTCAAAATCCTACAAGCTAGACTCCAGCAGTATGTGGACCGAGAACTACCAGAAGTACAGGCAGGATTTCGAAGAGGGAGAGGAACTAGAGATCAAATTGCCAACATACACTGGCTCATGGAGAAAGCTAGGGAGTTCCAGAAAAACATCTACTTCTGCTTCATTGACTATGCTAAAGCCTTTGATTGTGTGAATCACAACAAATTGTGACAAGTCCTTAAAGAGATGGGAGTACCAGACCATCTTATTTGTCTCTTGAGAAACCTATATGTGGGTCAAGAAGCAACAGTGAGAACTGGACACAGTACCACTGATTGGTTCAAAATTGAGAAAGGAGTTCGGC